AGTTTAATATTGCATTGTTATGTTTTAGTTAGTTGCATATTAGTATTTTGCACTGTTACTTAGAATATCAACTAACTCGCTCATCATGTTTACAAATATACATATATTTTATATCGTAAATATAGTGAATATTCTAACCAAACCAACATTTTGTTGCGTATAACTAATTTATTCCTTAAAACTAAATCAATTAAAAATCTGTTACATTTTAGTTCTTTCAGTTGATTAAATTTTAGAATATTACGGAATTATTTGATGTTTTATACCACATTTGGTGGTTCGAACTTTATTCCGGAAACTTGGGCAGCATATTCTGCACATAAAAATAAGCAAAAAAGATCGTATAAATGTATGTCCTAAAAATGCTTAGTTTCGGAGATAGAGGGTGTAGAAGTTTTATTTTAATTTCGATTTTTTTTTCACATAATTTCTGAAGTAACGTCAATATTTGGATGAAAATTGGTGTTTGAAAGTTTTTTGATATGAGATATTTGATTTTCATGTCAGAATTTATTCTTTTCCTGACTTTCAAGCCAGAGAAATAAACTTTACTAAAAAATTTGGTTGCTTCCTTAAATGTATGCAGGGGTATCAAAAATTTCTGATCTATTTTAAATATTTATTTTACATAAAAACTTCGTTATTTCAAATGCACGATAATGATGATTTTTTTTTAATAAGTCGAATCAGATTTAAATGCTCTTTCAAACTATATTAGGGTTTCAAAAAACTCCAATTTTTATCCAAATATTGACGTTACTTCATAAATTATTTGGAAAAAATCGAAATAAAAATGAAACTTCACTGAAAACTACGTCCCGTATCTCCGAAACTAAGCATTTAGGACATACATTTGTAGAGACTTTTATACTTATTTTTATCTGCAGAATATATACTACTAAAGTTTCCGGAATACAGTTGGGACCTCACTGTATAATAATAGTGATGAGCGAGACTTGTCTTGGTCTTACGGTTTTGGTCTTTGTCGTGCACAAAATGGAAGACCAAGACCAAGACCAAGAGCGACCAGTGCAAGACATCCGCAACACCTAGACCAAGCATGCACGACTCTTGTGGTCTTGCATCTTTTTTCACGTTTATGTGATATAAGAAACTATTTATTTATTCAAAAATATTTTTTAATTTATTACAAATAGTACTTTCCGGATATTGCACAAAATTTTAAAGAAATATTTGCTTATTTTTAACATAACATTAAAAAATAAAAATTTCGTCACAAAAATATTTTAAAAATTTATTTCTTTAAAGAGTTATTTGCATTAAGTTACCAAGAATATTTATTATTATCGTTAAGCAAAACCTGCAAGAGTCTTTCACAAGAACAAGACCAAGGAAGGCTTGGTCTTGATCTTGCATTTCTTCATCACTATACAGGGTACTACAAATTCGGGGTACGAGCATTGGTACCTCGGTTACCGTAATAGATACGAAGGTAGTTAAATTAAGGCAAAGTTGCGCTTTGGGATGTTCGTCAAGATGCCATCAATAAAGTTTTAAAATCTTCAAGGATTGCTGAGTTTTTTGGAAAACACGGATTTATTTTATTTTTTCCTGTAGTTACTCTTTAGAAAATCAAAAAATTAATTGTGCATTCTCATAGCCACTTTATTAGGGCTGTCTAATAATATTTTTAGATTTTCAAATTAGTTCATTTGTGAGATACAAAGGGATCCAATAATCGTACCTCGAATTTGTAGCACCCTGCATATTACAGATTTAACATTATTGAAGAAACATATTTAATAAATAATGTGTATGAGTTATAGATATATTTTATGAGATAAGTAAATTCCTTTCTTAAATCAGGAGCAATCAGATAAAACGAGATAAAGCAATTTTAGTCAAATATAATTTAATGACCGATTGATATTTCCTCTTGGTGCTCAAAATTCGTTAATGTGCTCAATTTGTTAAATCCAATTTAAACTAGACATCAAATAAGAGTAAAACGAGACAAATCTCCAAAATCAAATTGTACTTATCGTCTATATGCTTTCTTTTCAGCTAGAAAAAATGTACCAAAATTTCTTTCAATTATTACAACTCTCTAGAAATTACACTATGGTTCTAGAATACAAATAGGTAGTAAATAATAAACTAATATTCATTACTTACAATTTAATTAATGTTAATTTTACTTTACAAAACTTACTTTACAAAATAACTTGTTTATTATTAATGATTATTGTACCGACGCGATGATGTCAAAGACCGTAATCCAAAATTTAGTCTAAAATCGATTTTCTATAAAATTGGTGTTTCTAGACGAGGGTCAAGTCAAAAAATAAAATGGATTGTTAGTTATCCCTTGTTACCAAACTAATAAAAAGTACATTGACATTTTAGGGGGGAAATTCCACTTTTCTACTTGATAAGGCAGTTCTTTTTTTCGATAGCAGTGAACCTAGATATATTAAGAACAGAAGGAATATTTTACATTCGTATACATACAAAATTTAATCGTACGATGTACCGAAATGTGAGAAATAAGCGTAATTCCGAATTACAAGCTTCGCTTCCTTCAAACGACACAAAATTTACAGACATTTTATTTATAGAAGTATTTTTCTTGAAGAAATGATACAGACATCATTATACAGGGTGCTACAAATTCGAGGTACGAGCATTGGTATCTGGGAAATCGTAATAGATACGAACATAGTTAAATTGGAGCAAAGTTGCACCTTGGGATGTTTATCAAGATGCCATCATAAAAGTTTTAAAAATTTCCAGGCTCGCTAAGTTTTTTGGAAAAAAAACGTATTTTTTTGGAAATAAATTTTATTTTTCCTGTTGTTACTTTATAAAAAAATCAAAAAACTAGTTGCACATTCTTATAGTCACTTTATTAGGACTATCTGATAGTATTTTTAGATTTTCAAATTAGCTGATAATTTGTGAGATACAGAGGCCAACTTAATATTTTTAAATACGGACCTGCATTTTTTATTTTATCTTTTGAAAGAGCTCGGTCTCGTGACTAAAATGAGATGTCACACTTAGTTTTTTTTTGTTTCGGGTTTGAACATAATTTATTTAAACTAATTTCAAGCCCGGCTCTGTTTTTTGAGAAGACTCATATACGAAGTTCTTCTCTTAGAATAGGTTCAAGAATCGTTCCCTTTTTCTGTACTTCTGTACTTTTACTCTTCATGTGTATGTTTCATGTATTTGGTTGGATTTGGTGCACATCTTAGTACTGATATTTAATAAAAATTCTTTCGTCGAAAATTGTAAAATATTTTTATGAACAATAACTTTGGATCACATTAAAAATATAAATACGTTATTCTTATGTGCAGCAATATAACATTTTTATTGCTAAAGTTATTGTCAGAATCGTCATAAATTCCGTTACAAATATGCATTAAAAAAAAGTCTACTGAGAACTTCCGAGTGGAATGCTGATCTAAAAAGTCTTTATTAAATTAAATAAGTAACTATTCAAACAAATTTCAGTGAAATCAAAGTTTATGTTCTGTGTATAAGCTATAAAGAGTTTCGTCCATCGCATTTATTTGTATAACAGCACACCGACCTTGGCGACAGTGGCGACCTTCAATGACGTTCGCTTCCCGACTGTAAAAGGGCGATTGCCTATTCAATTAATTTATTAAAAATATACATAAAAAGTTATCAGAGTTTATTATTTGAATAATTTGATGGCTATCTGTACACTGAGAGAAAAAACGTATAATCAAAAAAAATGCAAATGAGTCAAATAAAATCAAACATATTTTGGCCTCATTAATGATCATAATTCAATTAATAAGACATCTATTGATTTTATGCATATACTCGTACATATAAAACATACATGATCATTGTCATTGTTACTGGTATATCAGATTTAAAATAAAAATTCTGCCTATTTGATTTAAAGAAATATATATTTGTTTATTAGTGTTTTCGTTTTGTTTTTCAAATACATTCCTTTTATTTCAAGCCTTTATCTTTATATTTTGAAGTACAATGCTTAATGATTTATTAATATGTCACTTTGTTTAAAGCTTGAGTCGATTTTAATCGAATAGGATCAGTACTAACAATTTAAAGGAAATAAATATCAAATTTATTAGTAAAATAACTATATTTCAGAATTAATCTTTTGGTGATAAGTAGGTAAATACAATTGTGTTGAATGTCTTCAAAAATAAAAAATAATAGATACAAAGGAATCTCGGTGAATTTTGTCTAGTGACGAATGGTTTTTGTAATGTCCTGGAATTGATCTGCCTTTATTACATTCCTTCAAAGGTCACAGAGATTCTAAAAAAATGTTTAGTTAGGTTAAGTTAGGTTAGGTTGATTATTCTAAACAACTACTAAAACAACACATTACCTGTAAACGATATAATTCTCCTTTTTGTCACTAACAACTGTCATACACAATACATTGTACTATTCAAAATAATGGAACGCGACAAAAATCATATAAAAATGTGTGGTTGATCGGGCTTATCACGTCAATCTCGCCAAACACCATCTTTCGATGTCCATCTCGAATGCCTTTCTATTGGAAAGAATTAATCACGTGGCAACAGCCTACCAGAAATGTATTTAAACTGTTGTTGTTGTGCAATTCTCTTAGAAATAAAATACTCTCGTGCATTGCTTAAAATAAATTTATCATAAGGACGTCTTATTGGAATAAATAGAGAACCAATACTTTTCAAAAATAATAAGGCAATGCCAGTTTATTTTGAACGTGGTTCTTTTAAAACATATAGGGTTATAATTACTTTAAGAGGACTAAATATTAGATATCCGATAAAATAGTATTCACTTTATTTCGAATGATTTAATTTTTATTATGTATAGAAAAACAATATTATATTAACAGCAATCGTTTATGAAACAAATAATTAGGTAAATCGAATTCCATAGAACGAGTTAATTATTTTAACGTGATTTATTGTGCATTTTACAATGCATTTTTTTTCTGAGTGTAAGTATGTTAATTTGTTTATTTTTTCTAGGTACCCCTTCTTTTATTGGTGTTTCAAGTGACGTTCATCATTGTAGGTGAAGCTGTTCATCCAGGTAAGACACATTCTAATTCCATATTGACTTAAAATTATTAAAAGGATTTAAGTCAAAATCCATACAAAACTACCGTATGATCGAATAAAAACGGCGTCAGCTATGGCTATGAAATGAAGATCGCTATCATTTTATATGTAAATTTATATGGGAAATGTCATCGATCGTCATTTCCAAGCCAACTGGACGCCGGCGCCGTTTTGATTCGATCATACGATACTATAACCAAACAATACAAAATAATCTCACCTAATTCGTGGGTTAATCTGACTTACTTATCTTCGTTCGCTGAACAGAAACAGTTTAAAACGGTCTGGCGCATGAGCATGAAGTTTAAAGCTTTTGCAGAAGAAAAATGTTTATTTTATTTACAATTCCTAATACACAAAATAAATAGTAAACAGAACTGTCAAAAGTTAATTGTTACGTCATTCGCGGACTTTCTCGTTCACATTTGATTTTGATTGATCGTTCTCAGAAATATAATACACAATGAGGTTTGAAACCAGTTGAACACCAAAGGTTCTTAGAAACAAACTGACAACCGGTTGGAATATTTCGCTATTCGAACGAAGCTATGAATAATAATAGTAATAATATTATGCCTTATTTTAAATTGATACAATATAATTGATGATTGATATATTAATGACTGGAAATGATTTAATGATTTTTTTCTGGAAATAAAAAGTTACATTATCAAATCAACTTTTTAAAATCTCACCAGTGTATAATAATTTTTAGTTCATGTCAAAAATATGACAGTATATATTATTTAAAAATTTAACCAGTGCAAAGTAAATTTAATTTTGTCTAAGTTTAGTAAAGAAAATACTATGATATAACTATATATTTTTATTTGAATTTCGAAGAAAAATTAAAAAGGAATCGTTTGATTTGAGAAATACCTGAGAAGAGTAAAAATAATTGCAGTTAAAAGCTTAGAAAAGTAGAGTGATAACTAATAAACAGAATCGAGTGAGCTATGCTGATGAGGAGCAAGCGGCACTAATCTACAAAATAATCTCTAAAACCACTATATGCCTCATCAGACCACCAACCGTAAAATAAAAAAGCGTTAAAACCACTACAAGATTAGAAATATCTCCCATAAAACTATCAATATTAAACTTAGAAGCAGCTATATCTGTTCTATTTGTTCTTGAAGTTCTTTTTTTGTATTCTATATAGATGTTCTATGGTTTTAATTACTTTTATTTATGGCATTTCTCTGACAAAAAGGCTTCGTCTGGACATAATCCGAAAAATTTGGCCCAAAAACAATATTGCACTATTTGTCTTTCTTTGCTTCTTTTTTCTCTAATTTCATTTTTTTTATCCAGATTCTTCAACAAACTTTATTATTACAATCAGGAGATTACACTCAGATGCAAAAAAAAATAACGGAGAAATTTTTGGCCACATTTAAAATGTTATATTTTTGTTATTCTTAGCCCTATTTTCATGATTTTTTTAGCAAACTGTATATATAATTATATCAAATTTAATTCGTAAACTAAATTTTTATAAACTTTAGTACTTGGCATATTATACAGGGTTAATCGAGGTGTTGTTTTTTTACCCTAACTTTAAAACACCCTGTGCAATAATTTCGTGTGTAAATTTTCCTAAAATATAATTTTGCGGTCAGAACCATGTCTCGTGAGCATTTTCTATTTTGGTCATAACTAAGGCATGTCAATACATGCCTTAGTTAATTTTTAAGAGCGAAATGAACTTGCCACCAACAATTTGCAATTTTTTCAATGATCATTTCTTTTTAAAGTAATTTTTCAATATGACAAGGCCGCTTTCGTGATTATTGTGAACTCTATGATACTATAAATTGACCATTATGTTCGACGTTTGGAAAATGCTTGGCATGATGATTAGAGGTTGCGAAGCGGTACCAGCTTCATTAAATGAACTTCGTTAGATTCTTAAAGAAGAATGAGAAAGCATAACGCAATATGGTATATGCAGCCTCAATGACAGTATGATCGGACGTATACAGGCAATTATATCAGCCAAGGGAGGCAATATAAAATATTATATTATTATTTATTATATTTTGTACATTTTTTTTTTCTGTTTGTATACTTGAGTCTCACAGATGTTTTCTTCAATATCGTTAGTTCTGTTATCGTTATTAATGTTTATCAGGACAGTATCCTTAGTCTTTAACTTTTTGTTTATTTAGTATAGAGTATCTAATGCATCGTAATACGACAATAGTCACCAAAACCATCTCGTCATTTTAAAAAAATACATCAAAAAGTAATGATAATTGAAAAAAATTCAAATTGATCGTGATTGGTTCATTTCGCTCTTAAAAATTAACCAAAGCATGTATTGACATAAATCAAAAAACAAAATGCTCAGGAGTCATGGTTCTGGCCGTAAAATTATATTTTAGGAAAATTTACACATGAAATTATTGCACAGGGTGTTTTAAAGTTAAGGTAAAAAACAATCCCCCGATTAACCCTGTATAATATGCCAAATACTAAAGTTTATAAAAAAAACTTAGTTTACGAACTAAAGTTGATATAATAATATACAGCTTGCTAAAAACCCATGAAAATAAGGCTAAACATAACAAAAATATAACACTTTAATTTTATAAAAAATTTTTATAAGTTTATAAAAATTTTCTCCGTTGCGTTTTTATTGCATCTGAGTGTAGTTAATATTATAATACTACTAATATTAATTCACTACTCTCACTAAAATGTCTAGCAAAATCATGCTTAATAGTGTTTATAAATTTTTATGTCTTATAATATATAATAATATAAAGAAATATTTTTGTATGTTTCTTTGTAATATAATGCAGATTTTCTAAAACTTTTTCTATATTTTTTAATACAACTAGAATATAACGTACCAAAAATTCAATAACTCAACTGGAATTACATTAGAAACACTGAAGATTTAAATCCAGAACTAATATTAAGCGATAAATTCTAAATATTACACTGTGCATCCGTACTAAATCTGGATTTTAATAAAAGTGTAAATTTATGGAAGTCTTTCCTTTCCGCTAAAGACACCTCAGAGAATAAAAATCTACCCATGTGGAAAGATTTAAACACAAGGGTTTTCTTTTCAAAACTATTATATTTCATTTATATTAACGATGCGATAAATACTCATTTGAAAATTTATTATCACATTGTTGATGGGTCTCACATATTTTAATGATGTTGAAATATAAAATATATTTTTACATTGTATTTACATTTGAAAATTTGCACAAAACATCGATTGACATATATCACGAGTAATGTGTAATAGTGTAATAGTGTAATAGTGTAATAGTGTAATAGTGTAATAGTGTAATAGTGTAATAGTGTAATAGTGTAATAGTGTAATAGTGTAATAGTGTAATAGTGTAATAGTGTAATAGTGTAATAGTGTAATAGTGTAATAGTGTAATAGTGTAATAGTGTAATAGTGTAATAGTGTAATAGTGTAATAGTGTAATAGTGTAATAGTGTAATAGTGTAATAGTGTAATAGTGTAATAGTGTAATAGTGTAATAGTGTAATAGTGTAATAGTGTAATAGTGTAATAGTGTAATAGTGTAATAGTGTAATAGTGTAATAGTGTAATAGTGTAATAGTGTAATAGTGTAATAGTGTAATAGTGTAATAGTGTAATAGTGTAATAGTGTAATAGTGTAATAGTGTAATAGTGTAATAGTGTAATAGTGTAATAGTGTAATAGTGTAATAGTGTAATAGTGTAATAGTGTAATAGTGTAATAGTGTAATAGTGTAATAGTGTAATAGTGTAATAGTGTAATAGTGTAATAGTGTAATAGTGTAATAGTGTAATAGTGTAATAGTGTAATAGTGTAATAGTGTAATAGTGTAATAGTGTAATAGTGTAATAGTGTAATAGTGTAATAGTGTAATAGTGTAATAGTGTAATAGTGTAATAGTGATACAATAATAAGATCAAAGAACATTGTTAAATAATGCGACGCGTATCGCATGAACGATGTTAGTTAGTTAACAGTAAACGTCAAACCTTTCGGGCCGCGAATATCATGTTAATGCCGGAATGATTAAAAGTGCTCGGATTGTTGTGCATGTAGACCAACACTTATAATTTTTTCCTTAGCCAGTTCTGCTCCGTATTAATTATTCTGGCGTAGGGGAATGTTTTTTATCCTGCTGCTGATTCTGAATTGACCAAGAAAATAGACCTTCAAAAACTAAGTTTTGGTAAAAACTTGAATTTTTGATATACGTTACTTTGAAAAATCTAAAAACGAATTGTGAAGATTTTTTTAAATTCACCACCGAGAAAGGGTGAAATAAATAAATAAAATTATTTTTTCGAAACTTTGGAGAATCGGTAAGAACTAGAAAAAAGTTTAAATAAAAATTGTAGAGCGTCCAATTCTACATAAAAATGGTCTTTTTTTGCTCAAATCAAAATTAACCGAGATAGGGTGGCTAGAAGCTAGGAGACAACTTTTATTGAAACAGTTTTTTCAAAGTCCTTACCATTTCTCTGAAATGGTAAATTTAGTTTAGCGACTTTTGTTTTTCATCGTGTGAATTTAAAAAAATCTTAATTGAAATTTATAATTTTACAAACAAATTGAATAAAAATGTTAAATATACGAATTTTTCAGCGACTTATTTTTTTTAAATGTCTACTATCATCCCCTAGGTTCTAGCCACCCTATCTCGGTTAATTTTGATCTGAGCAAAAATGTATAGGTATCATTTCTATGTAAAATTTGACACTCCACAACTTTTATTTAAACTTGTTCTTACCGTTTCTCCGAAATTTAGAAAAATTAATTTTATTTATATATTTCACCCTTTTTTGGGGGTGAATTTAAAAAAAAATTACAATTCGTTTGTAGATCTTTCAAAGTAATCTATATCAAAAATTCAAGTTTTTCCGAAAACTTCGTATTTAAAGGCGTACCTTTTTTGGACTATAAAAATTTAAATGTACCTATATTTGATTTACTAACTT